CGTCCGGGGGCTGGGTTTGCGGGGAGATCCGGGGGTGGGGGGACCAGAGAGCTCCCCTCTAAGATGACCCAAAGAAGGGGGCGCAGTGACAGTTTACGTCTTTTATGTGTTTGTATTGACTTCAGAGAGAGGAAGGGAGAGGGAGAGGGAGAAACATCAATGATGAGAATCACGGACCGGCTGCCTCCTGCACGCCCCCTACTGGGGATCGAGCCCGCACCCCGGGCCTGTGCCCTGCCCGGAATCGAACTGGTGACCCGGTTCATTGGTCCACGCTAACCACTGCGCTACGCCGGCCGGGTGACAGTCTTGTTTAACTGGGTTTGGGACAATACCTGGGGTTTCTCTTCCCTAATGTAACAGCGGAGGGGAATTTGGGCAAGAAAGTAAGTCCGTTTGCCCTGATGGCTTCGTTTCTACAAGCTACTTGCCCTCGATTTGTATTTTGAGCCCAGACCCGCCTGCTCAGCTCCAGGCTGCTTGGCGCCCCGTTTGGTAGGAGCGCCTACTCAGTGGCAGGAACCCCTAGATGCTGGAGAGGAGACAAAAAAAAAAAGGAGGCTTAAGAAAAATAAAAAAATCCCTGTCTTAGTGAGGTTAGCGGCTCCTGGTTAGAAAAGACAAACAGGTAAAACCTACAGAATGTGGTGTGGACGTAAGTACCGAGGAGATGATGCAGAGAGGTGATGGTGAGCCGTGACGTTGCATTGGGTGGATGGGGGAGGCTTGCTGAGAGAGAGAGAGAGCATTGAGTCAAGACCTGAAGGTGGCCCGTATGGCTGCGTGGAGATGAAGCTTAAAAATGGGGGCAGTCTGGAGGACTGAGAAGGCTGAGTCTGATGAAGTAAGACTCTGCTGATACAATCCTCCTAAAAATAAAAGGGTTGCAGAGAGCAGCCCTTATTGGAGAATATCACAGGGCTGACTGCACTACCCAACATTCTTTTTTTTTTTTTTAATATATGTTTTTTATTGATTTCAGTCCGCAGGCCGACGCTCTATCCACTGAGCCAAACCGGTTTTGGCTGCACAACATTCTAAAAAAATAAATAAATAAATAAAATGTGGGCAGGGCCCCGGCTGGCGAGGTTGAGCATTGACCTGTGAACCAGGAGGTCATAGTTGGATTCCTAGTTGGGGCACAGGCCCTGGTTGAGGGCTTTGTCCCCAGTGTGGGGTGTGCAGGAGGCAGCCGGTCCATGATTCTCTCTCCCTCTCTTTCCTCTCGGAAATCAATTAAAAACATATTTTTAAAAAATAAATAAATAAGTAGATATGGCACCCACTTGGTACCTCATAATATTATGATGAGAATAGCTTTGATCTCACAGACCCACTGAGAGCAGGCTCCAGTTGCGAGGGACACACTGTTACTCATCCT